TAAAAGTGCTTCACTGGGTCTTTTTGTCAGAAAAGTGGAGTCTCATCAAAATGTGTGGGTACAGTTCGTGATGTTTAAAATCTTGCAAGGGATGTGCTCTATGACTGACTAATCACCCAATGAATCACTGTTGCAACACCAAAACAAGAAGGCAAGTTTATAAAAAAGTTGAGCATTTCTGCAAGTTGAAATTTTCTCATGAGTGCTAATGGGCAACAAAAGTCTACTAGGTATGCAACTAAAAAGACACATGGCGAACCAACAAAAACAGAACTATAGTTACCCAAAGGGCAAATTAGCAAGAAAGCTAGTGTCGAGCACTGCATTAATAGCCATCAAGCTCATTCTAAGAGCTTTGCGGCATCCAAAAGTGTCTTTACTCTGCGTCCTCAACTCCTCAACCTCTCTTAATTCATTTATGCTTGCTGTGCCCCAAACCATCGCAGGAAAGAAAGTGAGTGCTTTGCAGGCTGTAAGTATACATGTAGAATACAGTAGGGGCAATTGTACATGTATGGTTTACCAGTTTTGTCATTTAAGNTATCATCTACAACCGCAGTTCATATATGAATTATTTCATATAAACTTCACATAAAAACAGAACTAGTTACCCAAAGGGCAAATTAGCAAGAAAGTTAGTGTCGAACACTGTATTAATAGCTGTCAAGCTCATTCTCAGAGCCTTGTGGCATCCAAAAGTTTTCTTTACTCTGCCTCCTCGACTCCTCAACCTCTCTTAATTCATTTATGTTTGTTGTGCCCCAAACCATTGCAGGAAAGAAAGTGAGTGCTTTGCAGGCTGTAAGTATACATTTAGAATACAGTAGGGTATGGTTTACCAGTTTTGTCATTTAACTGCCGTTGGTTACTTTGTAAATGGCACAAAAGTTAAGGTTGATATTTGCTACCACAGAAAGCTCAACTTCCCACAAGCTGTCTTGTTCACAGCTTTTGGGGCTTTAAATAAGAGTCACAACAAAGAACAGAAAAAATATGTACACTGCGACAAATGCTTGCATAAGTAACTATATATGATATGTAAATATCTTCTGTGTAACATGCAGCAAAAATTGCTTGTATCACTGCCATACATCTACACCTTAACCTATAATATTCAAGAGACCCTCCCAAACTACCGGTAAGTTGAGAATTTTATTTTATATCAATTTTAAAAACAAAATTATTTTGTTCTA